GGAAGCAATTGGGAGAGTACTTTTAGAGTTAGTTATTATATATAATTTACTGAATAAAATAAAGCGATATCTCTTAACAATGAGCTTTATGAGCAAAATAAGTAAATGTCTCAAACTTAGGGCAAGCGCTCTAGATCTTTTATTATGCTGAATTGGTACACCCTGAATATTTATGAACAGTAATTTCCATTTATTTCCACTTACCTTGAAACCGACAAAGATATTTATTTGTATGGCCACTTTAAAAAATACTTAAATAAAGAACTAACCTTGGTAAAGTTCTCATACACAATTATTTTTGTAGCATTTATGCCCAAACTTATAATATAAACAGTTTGCAAGGTTATCAAAGATTAAGTTAATTAATTGTGCCTCTAATAGAACAGCATTTTTCTCACGATTACTGTTATCTTCAGCCGTAGAATATCCTGGTTGCAGAAACTGTAAAGCTTCAGTGAGAAAAAATAATAAAAATTTACTTTATCTTCGATCTCATAGTTGTGAAAAACATGGGACCTTTAAAGCTTACTGATTTTGAACAAGCAACGATCGTTTTTTCATGCTGTTTGTTTATCAAAACACATAGCTACCGCATCTCATCAATTTAAGCATCTTGAACTTAAGAAAATTCTCAGAGTTAGGTTATTCCATGAATTTGTTAGCTAGCTTTTTTTTTAGATTTTGATTATTTCATTATCAGTTAAATCTCAAACATAGGAACCAAAATTAAATTCTAGGGGTTTGAATTATATTATTTTCTAAAATTCTGGCTTTGAAACATGGTAAAGTTTGCACAGAATAAATTAAATACCTTTAAGACTTTGGAAAATATTTGAAATGCACAATTCTTAACACTCAGACTGTTAAAATAAAAAAAATGTTTTCAGATCCCAATCCCATATATTTGAAAGATTTATTAATTAATAAAAAATAATATGTCCAATACATATTGAAAGTATCAATTCCTCGAATTCAAATGTAAAGTCAATGAAATTAGATCAATTGTCATAATTCTAAGACTAAGCTAAAACTACAAGATCCTTCCTAGCCAGTCATTTCATCTAGTACTTGAATATATAAAACAAATTAAATGCATTTTTTATAATTATAATATGTTTTACCTACTCAAAATTTTCATAAAAACTCTACAAAATAAATATGCCTGAAAAAAAATTCGACGAAATTTGGTTCAAAACAAATTTTAGGGATTAGAAAAAGGTTTTGATTTTTGATATCATAGGCTTAGACAAGCTTCAAATCTCTCCTGGCCTTCATGCGTAATGTTAGATCGTGGGAAACTTACCTAGATTCAGAGACTTACAGCATTTTTCAAGAAAAATGTTCTCTCTCTCTCTCTCTCTCTCTCTCTCTCTCTCTCTCTCTCTCTCTCTCTCTCTCTCTCTCTCTCTCTCTCTCTCTCTCTCTCTCTCTCTCTCTCTCTCTCTCTCTCTCTCTCTCTCTCTCTCTCGCTCTCTCTCTCTCGCTCTCTCTCTCTCTCTCTCTCGCTCTCTCTCTCTCTCTCTCCCCCTCTCTCTCTTTCTCATCTTTTTGCAGGAAATCTTCAAAATCGTGATCAATCTTAGTTTTTGTCCGTAAAATCTGTGATGATATCTGTGTTCATAATTTATTAATTGAATCCTTAAAAAATGTACTTTGAAAGGTAAAGGTGATTGAGCCATTTTTATTATAAATGCAAAAAATTGATAATAATATATGTTCATAAATCTCTTATGGCTTGACAAAAAAGAATACCTCTGACTCTGATATTTACTATAAAAAAACCCACCCACACACAATCCCGTATCATCGGTTGGAAGACTATTAGAAAAAATATCAATGTTTTTAAAAGAGGGAAAAAAAAACAAAAAAATTCTAAAACGTTAAAGCGTTGACCAAAAATAAGACCAATTGTGAGTTTACAATTTGACAGAACCAGAGTACCAGAATTTTCGGAGTAAATTGACATTACACTGGAGCTGTCAAATAACTCCCGGGGTGGGTCGATGCATCGGACTAACTAACATTCGGAGTTATATATGAAATCAAGATTTTACTTTAATTCTTATCAAAATGAATGAACCTCAATGATTGCGTCCCTGCACAGCAAAAAATAAATTTTAATATTACATCCAAGGGGATGCACTTCAATCATATCGAAAATCTTATGTAATTTTTATGGCCACAACAATAAACAAATGCAGTAAAAGCAGCGGAATTTAATTTCATGCACTGTATTAATGATAGTTTTGTCCTTTTTGGAAAGTAATAAAGTAATATTACTTTCCAAAAAGGACAAAACTATCATTAATACAGTGCATGAAATTAAATTCCGCTGCTTTTACTGCATTTGTTTATTGTTGTGGCCATAAAAATTACATAAGATTTTCGATATGATTGAAGTGCATCCCCTTGGATGTAATATTAAAATTTATTTTTTGCTGTGCAGAGACACAATCATTGAGGTTCATTCATTTTGACAAGAATATATTTTTGACATGATTGAAGTGCATCCACTTTTATGTGATTTCAAAAAAGATTTTTTGCATTTAGTTTTACAAAAGAATTGGAATATTTTTTTTTAAATTTAAATGGAGTTAGTTTTCATTAAACGTATTCGGAACCAATTTAAAAATAATTCGTATTTTATACGGATAAGGGTTTTTTCAGTGTTTTTAATTTATTCAATCACGGATTTTTTATGTGCTAACCCATTCAAATTATCCTGTAGCTGAATTCCTGGCGTACATTTCATCAAAAAGAAAGAAATTTATACATATTAGGAATATCGTTGAAATCTATGCCCGGAGTTCAGCTGCTGGAGTGCTAATTCTTTACAGTATAGCTAAATCACCAAGGCTCGGGTCTTTTTGAATACTTCCTGAACAACCTACAGTCTTGAAAGAATATGTAAATTTTTAAACAGTTGGAGATCCTCAGAACTTGGCCAAACTGAATTTTGGGTAAAATATCCAGCGAACTTTACTAATATCTTCATCTATATGGAGATCTATTGAAAATTTCCTGATGTCTAGGAAGGATTTCTGAAATAATATCCTGTAACTTATGTAACGTTTCCTGAACATCTACAAAACTCCCTTAAGTTTTACATAATTTCCTCAAATTATACGAAGTTCCCTAATTTATTCCAAATTCCATATTTTTTTCCCCATCTTAATTCTACGAAGATCTCTGAACATCTTTGCACTTATGGAAAGACACCTAAGACATATACAAATATTCTTGAACATCTACTAAGTTCCTTGAAATTTAACGAAGTTCCCAAAACCTCCAAGAAGTTCATGGAGTTTTTTTAAAGCAAGATATCTGATAAACTGCAACGAAGTTCTCTAAACTGAAGCTACTATCCCTTAAGTTCTTAGAAGTTTATTCAATCATTCTGGATCTTCTTGAAGATCTACGCAGCTCCTCAAAATTCTACGAAATTTGCAAAACTTCTATAAAGTTTGCTGCACTTCTACGTTTCTCGTTGATTTTCTGCGAGTTTCACGTACGAAATTTCTTGAATTTGAACGTAATTTTCACAACTATTCCAAGTCCATGAGACTTGAAAATAGTGCCCTGAAATTATATAGAGGTTCCCGATCATTTATGAGCTTTGCTGAAATGAAACTTAAATACATTTTTCACTTCGACGCAGTTTGCAGAACTTTACTTTTTCCTACGATATTTTTCTGAAGATATATGAAGTTCCCAGAATTTCCAAGAAGGTTTCTTAATTTCTGCTATGTTCCCTGAACTTCTTAGAAGTCCTAGAAGTTTTAAAGTGTTTCCAGAAGTTTAAGAAAAATCCCTGGGCTCATGGCCAATTTGTAGAGCCTGGAAACGTCTTATGATGTCGTCGATTAAATATCTGGAATGATGTAAAAAATTCAATTGTATCGTCCATCTGTGAGATACACATGTTTGAAAATAAAAGGTTTGTCGCAGGCTAGATTTACGGACGTCTGGTATTCGATGCATTACGGCACAAACGATAAAATGTTTCATCTTTTGTAACTTTCCGAAGACATCACCAACATCTGTGATTTTTAGGTTAAAATATGATTATAAAAGACCTTCCAAACAAGCGTCGGAAAATTGAGTTTTATGTTAAACTGGTGCCGTAAACATCAAGCTTTTTCCCCACCTTGCTCTACTAAATGGAATTAAATGTCAAAGGCTTGCTGTTTGAGTATTCCAGTAACAGTTCAAAATTATTTGACCAATTTTGTAAATAATTTTCGAAAAAAAAAATTGGTTACTTGCTTTCTTTTTAAAAATCGTACGATGAAATATTAAACGTTCGTTCGGAGCAGTATTTAACCATTTTCATTTTTATTTTCATTGTACGAAAAACGGTCGACGAAGTATCAATCAGTCGCAACATTTTATCGATATTCTCTCCAGGGGCAACCTGACATACTGTTTGCACAACTAATACGCAGCGATTGTATGCGAATTACTAACGAGCTACACATCGTTGTGCCTTCCCCTTTCAGCGGACTCAAAGTGCATATAACACTGAGTTCCCCTTGCCTTCTACAGAAAGCCTATCATGAATCCCCTGTTATCAGGTATCGACGTAAAAGCGCTAATCTTATCTTGCATATATGTATGAAATGTTGACGGATATGATTACTCATCAAATCGGGTTGTTCCACAGTGCCGTATCTACCCTTTGAAACATCTTGTTTATAAATGCAGCAGGGGTAGCTTCAGTAGGCGGGTTGAATTAAATGAATAGTACATTATAAAAACCTATTTATATTTATAAATACATAATATTTCCTGTGTTTTTGTTCGTAGGTAAATGAATGCAACACTTTTGCTTTTCTTTTTATTCTGAATTCGACTCTGTTTTCTGTAACATTCAGCATAGTTCAATCAGGTTCACTTCAAGTCAATAATGTCCCTGTGCAGACGTATTTCGATTACTGACTCGACGCTTTAATCGTGTGTCTGTATTCCCGTTTCAGCAAAGTTGAAAATTCTTACCAGTTACTGAGACACTACTTGAGAAATAATGACTGTGTCCAAGGATCACAACAAAAAGGCTCTCAGGCGTACGACACTTGTTCCATTTTTGTACTTACTCTTATCCTAGAGTACTTTCAATTAACGTGTTTACTGTGAACTTCACCTCAATGTCAAACTTTTTACTTCATTTCAGGCTCCCTACAACGAGCGATACATAAACAGCATCCGCCAATGCCTGCCAGGAAGGGGCTACTGGCGCCCCAAAATACGTTTCTGGATACAATTGCTACGCGTTTCGACGGAACACGTGAGTATTTTCGATTTAAATAACCCACAGTTGAGTTGGCGTCAGTATAGAGTGTGATTTATTTAGAATGAATTACCGTAATCTGTTAGTTTTATTCCCACACCTACTGACAGAATGGCGCCACCTCCTATGGGCAAAAAGTTTTTCAAACAGAAAAGAATGTTTGGAGATTGCAACATTTTTGCAAAAATATTGATTTTAGAACCGAAAACAGAAAAAAAATATTTGGCTTGCTAGTTCAGTAAAAAAAAGCTAGCGATTTTCTGCTTACACAATAAAATGCCATAACTTTTTGAACTTTTCTTTAGATTTTTTATATTAGCTTGTATATCTAACATTTTTCGGCAATGGATCAAGAAAGAGAGATCATTGTGCGCACATTTGTGGGAAAATGAAACAATAGGTCTGTTCTGGTACTTGCTGTTTTGCGTTTGCTGTAAGTTGCTGCAGCTTTCTGTAAATTGCTGTAAGATAATAATATGGTACAAAAAGTACAGTAACATACTTTTGCTTTATGCTGTATAGAATATTATAGAAAAGCAAGTACGGGAGCAGACCTATTTTTACCGTCGCTACTGTGTTACTGACTGATTACGATTAAACTCAAGTATTTTTTTTTACAAATCTTGTTAGTTTCTTTAAAACGGCCTTTTTATACGGTACATAACCCCTGTTTAAAGTGATTCCTTGTAGAGTTCGCATTTGGCCACCATGTAGAAATTGCTACTTCATGTAACAGTTTCATTGTGGTACGTATTGTAGTAGCTGATATTTCTGTACTGTGTTACGTGGTTACGAGAATAAGAATCTCCCCGCTAATCAAAAAAGCCCATCCTTGGGACCACTGGTATATTTTGTATTGCGGTCTCCTTATGATTTCATATCAGTTATATATTTCTAGCTCACCTGAAATAAAAATAGGTATTACGACAATCCTTTTTCGTTTAACTTAATTTTTCTAAACTGCTTTTATTTTAACACACATTTTAACTGAATAAAATAAATCTGTTTACGATTCCTCATACCTGCGGATTTGTTAATAGAAGTGCTGATAACAATTTTCATCAATATTTCGTACTCAATACTCATGATCTGTAACCAGTAAGTCTGGTTTATAGCATCCCTCAATTTATTCTTCAATCATTTTAATCTATCTTGAGGAGTTGGTGGTTATCTTTGAAACAAAGATCCTGAGGATTATTTCCACATTTGAGAAAACCACCCAAGTAGCGTCGCAAGTTTTTTTTTTGCGGTTTTAAAGCATTCTACAAGTCTAAATCATAGTCTTCAGAACCCTCATAAAAAACGAAAATTGTCACTTGGGCAATTTTCCAAATACCGTTAGTTTGAATAGCTAAAATCGCAACTAAACGGCTCTCATATTTAATTTGTATAACTGATGCACCTACACTGGTGCCAAACGCCATTGGGCGCCTCTGTAGAGGTACCAGTTAAAAAAAGTTGGAGGGTGGTGTACAAGACACAACCGCATTGTTGACGTAGGACTACGAATTTTTTTACGGTTCGGACGTTTTCGAAGATGTCGCGCAGCAGGAGGGTTTCTCAGTTAATGAAAGTGAAACGGAAAAAAATTAACCCACCGATAAGATAGAACATAGAAATGTTGCAAACAAAAGTGGACAGTTGCATACAATATATGGGATATTGCATGACATGTCTCATAAATTTACACGATCTATAATCTAAATTTGTATGATATATGATGCTCCATTTATGTGCATCATAGTAACGGAAATTTACACTACTTTTTTTTAGCTGTGTACACACCAACTGCTCATTTGGTAATAACTTTTCACCCAGATGTTGAAATTTATTTTTCTTTAAAGTAATTGATAGATTAGGCTATAGATATGCGAAGCTTAACATTTGAATCAACACTAATCAATTCAACACTTAAATTCCGAGATGTGTAGTGAGCATTTCTCACCTCATATTTACAACGCAAAAACAAATACAGTTTACTACTAGCATTACAATCTACTTTGTTTTACATATCTGTAACAAGCTTACACTCTTTCTATCTATTGCTTCAAAAATAACTATGTTCCGTTAACTGTGTGCAAAGTTATTAGCAAATAAGCAGTTCGTGACCGTGTATGCCAAGCATGGGTGTGGAAAATGCATGGAAAACAAATCCAAAGATGGTGCATGGAAAACAAATCCAAGGAAAAAAACAGCATTTAATGTGGTCGTTGGCTTGTTTCATCTAGGAACCATTATCTGATGACTGTGTTGGGGAAGCAGCACATGCATGTACGTAATTGGTGGATTTGTTAGTTATTTAGAAGCTTTTGGACAATGCTTAACATTTACCACTTTTTCAATAGTTTCAATTTGAAAATCAACAGCCAAGAGCATTGTTATCGATGCGTAGAAATGTTTCTGATCGATTGGTGATAAAATAATTGAAATTGGTCCAGCGGCAGCTAAGTTATTAACGTTCAAAATCTTTCATAATTTCATTTTTCGCTTTTCATAAATTGTACCCCCATCTTCCCGAAAGACGTAGTCCTACGTCAAAAATCAAAGTGAACCCCGTGCGATTGCGATTTTAGCTATTCAAACTAACGGAGTTCTACGGTAGTGATTTTGGTTCTATCGCAGTCTTGTTGCACATGCTTTGGATTTATAGAATGCTTTAAAACCTCGATAAAACTTGCAATACTACCTTGGTTTAGTCCATATGCCAATAATCAGTTTGTACAACTCATCTTATTCTGGTTTCCAGTTCTGGCTTCCTAAAAGAAACGAGACGACTTTCTAGTCATAGTACTTTGGAAAAACAGTTGTAACAAAATGTATGTCAAAGTTGTCTGCCGGCAGATGCCAGGTCTAACATGTTATATTATACGGAGGGGCTGTTTCTGAAATGTTTAAATCAATGTTTCAGAACATATTTGTTCAGTGAGCAATGCCCACATGCTCATGATTTGGTCAAATATTTGTAGTTATGGTTATAAATCGAAGTTTTCGTTGATTGAAATCCGCAATTCACAAACGGCAGTGTCTAAGAATAGTTTTGTTTCACCTTCTTTAAAGTAGCATAAGAGGTTAGCCAGTTATGTTTTCTACACTATTGGCAAATTGTCACTACAGTAAAGACGTGCTGTAAGTGGTATGAATTATCGTCGTTCCATAAATATGAATCCATTCAATTGTTCGGAAACTCGCATAACCGAGAAATAATTAATCGCAAACTCAAGGATTAACGTAAAAGTTCGAGTATTTTTACATAGCGATTAGATTAGATGATCATTTTTGAAATCCCTTAACCGTTATAACAAATCATGCAAATTTATACATAAAATCATGTACATTTAAACGTGATAAACGATAATACATCACACAAGCTTGTTAACAATTGTGTTGATATATGTCAAGCTTAGTTCAAAGTTACACGAGGGATTTTTATCGCGATGATTAAGGTTATTTTTTTTTCTGCGCTGGGTAAGGTGGGCAAAGTCTTGAGTGGGGTAAAAGTTCTCTTTGAGGTTTTCAAAGACAGTGCAAAATAATAATTAATGGTTTGAATCTTGGTCTGAAGGTCTTCTCCCCAAAAAATCAAAAAAATTGATCATGATTTTGAAGAGCAATGACGTGGATACACTTGTATGACAAACTATGCGCAACTATGAACATGAGCATTATTTGTATATGTGTCCAACCTGCATTTTATTTTATTTTTTCAAGGTCGGATGGATGATAGAGTGGCAAGCGTGACTGCTTTCTCATCCGAGTGTGTCTGGGTTCAATTACAGTCGAGGTTGTTTGGATTTTTCTGAAAAAATCTCTGGTCACGTCTTTTTTTCGGAACGGAAGTAAAGCCATTGGGCCTGGCCTATCTGTTGATAGGTTCTTTAGGATCCAAGTATGAAAGTCGTCTTCCTGGTACATGGTTGCCGTTGGTGATTAATCACCAATTAGCAATCGACAATCGGCGATGATTAGCACTCGATTGCGGTACAGAGAAAAAACTTAGGTCAAACGTTTACTCCACCTGTCGAAATGTTTTTGAAGAAGCAATATAATACCAGCAAGATAAAATTTAAATGTTATTTCGCGAACGAAAGCTTAGGATGCGATTTTTTAAAGTGAATGCCTTTAAATTTTCAATTGGATAGTACCATCGTCCTGAGCCTATTTTACGTAAGATACAGCACCGGACATCATAACATCATTTTTTTTTCTTTAAATATGTTCAAAAGCTGCATTTTTTTTTATGTCGATTATTTTTTTTGAAATCTTAGCCGCTGGTTGATCAAGTATGCGAAATTTATCAGTACAGTTATGAGCACAATTAATCGAAGAAATTTGAGCATTTTAAATACAGCTCTTCTTTTTTAAGCAGCCTATTTAAACATGGAATTTTGTGGAGTACAATGAAGAGAATATGCTGAAATTTTGCTCATTGATAATCAATACACAGTTCTTTCATATGCTTTAAGTTTTCTAAAATCCATATAGTACAAACAAGATTGATTTTTTTTCGCCATCTATAAAATTTTTCAAGGCTATATACTATTTATATTACTGGGGTTTCACTCTGCGGACAAAAGTATATAACCTCCTTTCACAAATTAGTTTTTGATTGTGAACAGGGTTGAAAACGCTTATACTAATATTCTAAGTAGAATGTTGCTGACAAACTTGTTTGGGTGTCTGAGGACTGCCGGATGCCGTAGAAATGAGTTCAGAATTCGTGATGCTACTGTGAACCTCCTTATAATCCTTATAATTTAGGAAATAGTTCCCAGTAGTGAGAGAATTCTTAGCTAATCTGTCACCCAGATGGAAGACATTGGTCATCTGAACTATTTTGCAGAAGACACTGCACAGGATTTTCACCCATGACCCATGGTACTTGGCAACATTGTACAAAAAAAAATCTAGTTTAGGACTCTTTGTTCAGTTATCTTCTGGAAGCATTGAAAATAATAGGTCTCAGTTTCTTGTAATTTTTACATTTCTGCGAAATGCTATATCACAGCAATTTTGCTTTGCGCCTTCTGACTGTTCATCTATATTTCAACAAAAAGGCTGAGGAGCACGATTGTGCTATCACATCAAATATTTAGTTCAAATCTCTTTATAAAATCGTTGTCAGTTGCAAGCTAAATTTAAGTTTGATAACATTTAAAAATAAACATAGAATTTATTAAATATTCCTATATGGACTATAGCATGCTGTAATTAGTAATGGCAAATCTATTTTTTCTCAATATTTAACCATGTGAAATTACTTGTCTAAATTTCTAAAGATATAAAGAAAAGAAAGTAGTCTTTGAAAATCAAGAAAAATAGAACATTCTTCCATAAAATGTTCTATTTTTCGTGATCGGCTCAAAAATTTGAATTTCAAAAAGGGGGTTTGAAATAAGTTTCTCCTCCTAATTTGGTTTAAATCGGAAGAAGTCAATTTAACTTTTTTTTTTATTTTGTCATGCACTTGGCGCGGATTCCCATAGAGCATTTCCAGCCCAAAACGCAAAACGGTTGGACATGAGTGTTTCCGATTTGAATGAAGCATTACTCATATGTTTGTTGCAACCACAGTAACTTTTGAAATGGGCATATTAAAAAATTGATAACATAAAAAAAAAATAACACGAACACTTTTGATCTGATTAAGATGACATCTGAAAAAAAAAGTTGGAGGTAGTTAAGGTGATTCCTTGTTGAGTCCACAAATGGCCGCTACGTAGGCTATACATGCACTTCCACTTTCAATTTTCAATTTTCGTTTTGGGTAATTGAAAAGCAGAAAGCAGTGCCCAATTTCACCTGAAATTGCTACTACATGTATCCTTCAGTGCAGCAAACGCAGAGTAACAATTTGAATGTTGCACGTGTCGTAGAAGCTGATATTTGTGGACTTACAGTTTCGAAGTGGTTCCGAGCAGGGCTGGCAAATGTCATTTTCAATGAAAGATCTCACGCGATATTTACAGAGTTGCTTCTGTCACTATCATTGGATGAGAAAACGATGATAGAGATTTTCTTCAAAATCTCATCGAATTTTTCGTCATGACAGAACGTGACAGTGTTGTGATCAACGTTATTACTAGCTCATTTAATACTATTAAAGTTTGTAGTACCGAGGAAATTTTATTAATATATCCACTCTACTGATTACATACGGTAGTTTGCTTAAATTCATCTAAGTCAGTTAAAAATGTAGATATCAAAACCGCATAAGAATTATTCTCATGAGTGCTTGATCATTGAAAAATGACAAGAAAGCTAATGATAGGTAGTGTCGTCTCGTGATAGTGAGAGGACCTGTTTTCTCATCGTCAAATGATGGCCGTGATATTTACCAGCTCTGGTTCCAAGAATAAGAATGTCACAGCAATTCACCTTAAATTATCTGTATGGAAAAAATACACTGAAATAAAAAAAAAACTTAGTAATCAATATTAAAAAGACGTAAAACGTTTATTATCTCAAAACATCTCCCATTATTTTACTATCTATTATTTTATTTTACTATCTCAAAACATGAAGGGGGTGTTTTGATATAGTCAACGTTTACGTTTTTTTACATTAATTTATTAAGTTTTTTTTTTATTTAAGTGACTAGCTTGTACAGGAAAAAAATTAGCTGTATAAGCTAATCTGCAACTAAAATTTTTATTTGGGAATTAATAATATGAAATTGTTTAAATTTAATTGCATAAGTTTTCTCATTACTACGATTTTTTTTTAACATATATTTCTTTGTTCAGGTTAAAATCTTCAAGCTTTAAATTCAAACATTTATACATTGTAATTTCGTTGTCTCATTTCCTTTTTCCAGATTCCAACTTTGTTCTAGGCAACGCACAGGTTAGTGGATACCCGATCGTGTACTGCTCCGATGGCTTCGTTGAGCTTTCAGGATTTTCACGTGCGCAAATTATGCAGAAAGGTAATGTTCCATGTGTTGTGTGGTGTGATTTCGTGAAATCGTTTAGATTTTTTTTATTCCGTTTCCTTGTTGAGAAAGTATTGTCGTAGTGTGACTGATGTAGAAACAAGTTTTACTCTTCTTTCATTTAGTCGAAGTCAAAAAAAAAATAAGATAAAAGTTGATCATTAGTACCTAGGGCTTCATCAATGTAATTCGGAGATTTGCCGCTAGGGCGGTGGTTTAGCTAACTTTTCAATAAAGCATTAGAGAAAGATGGTGTTATCGGCAAGTTTTTAGCCATTGTCATTCTGAGCAACTCTTCTTGAGGTACCGTAAACCGGGGGCAAATAAATCACGATTGTCAGTAATATTTGAATATTTTCTTTGCTTGTAGCTTATTTTCAATTAATGTATTTTTTAAACAAGTATTGATGCACAGATAACACAACCTAGTAGACTGATTTGTTAAATTGTTTACGTAAGTTTTAGTTTGAATAATTATTGTTCGAACATTTAAATTCTGCTTTGGGGTAAAATTGATCAAGAGTTTTTTGATTGATTTGTATGCCTTGTTTCAATAGTTATCAATGTCTGCAGAATGTGATTTGATGTGATTACAGCTTATAAATATGGGCCCAACATTAGATACATAGGCCAACATTAGAGCCATTTTCTTTATGTTTGAAAAATACTAAAATAAAAAAATAATACAATTTTTGCTGAGCATTGTAAGATGCTATCTCTTAGTTAAAATTAAAATATGTATTCAAAAAATAGACATTTGCAGGACCTTTCTAGTTATCAAAAAACACATAAAAGACCGCGTGCTGACACATGTTTTTATAACTTTTCAGCAGTAAAATAAGTAAAGCTTCAGAATCCTACCTAGATTTTTGCGCCAATTTGCGCCGGAAATAGTTATTTGAGGAGCAAATACCCCTAAAAATATCGATTATTTAAGAATTATTTTTTTTGTTTTAAGAGATAATAAGTTACAATGTTCAGCAAAAGCAAAATATAGTTGTATTTTTTTCCTTAATTTGTTTTCCGTTGATCTTGTTTTCCGTGCTGAGCACCAATGCTACCGACGCCAGGAAGGCAGCTTCCACACCTGGACCCTACCTATCGACCCATCAACTCATGAACCGGGGACCAAGTGGTCTAAAAGGGCCAAAACGTGCGTTTTTTGTTTATGCAAAAACGGGCCATTTAAGCCATATAGTATCTTGGGAGAAGTTTGTGCACTTAAAAAGCTTCTTCTTTTGAGCTTAGCCATTTAATGAATAATCCACCTAGCAGGGAGATGAAAACTTTACTTTTTTTTGTTTGTCAAGATAGCAAAATGGTGTCTTGAGCAAAGTTTTAGACAATATTAAAACAAACATGTTTGCTCTTATGTTTACAGAGATATGTCATTTTTTTGTAATGAGCCTTCAGAAAATCAATTTTTGCAAATAACTTTTCAGGAAGTCATTTTTTGACATTATTATGTTTTACACTAATGTTGGTTTTTTTAAAATACTCCATTTTGTCTTGGGAAGCAAGTCCCTATCTTCAATATTTCTTGAGATATTCAAGATCTGCTTATTACCAGACTATAGGGTCACGACTTCCCGTATAATTGTGCTACTGTTGTTTTTTATGAACATTAAAAACAACATTACTACCTCAAATGATTACTACCCATATCTCAATATAGTTATTTTTCATTAAAGGTTTCATATAATATCAAAGAAAAAAATATATTTATCGTTACCCATTTCCTCGTCACTTTCAGAATTGTCGCTTACTTCTGTTTCACCATCGGTTCATGCATCGGTAATTGGAAGTGGAAGCTACGCAACCCAGTTTTTATTTTGGTTCCTTGCGGTTCTCCTCAAAATATTATTTTATACTTCCCTTGTGATCAGAGATGTTATGCCTCAGAACATCCCGACGGCGCCGACTGGGATTGAACCCAGGCCTGCTGAGCTGAGAGGCAATCACGCTTACCACTACACCACAGGCGCCACTAAATATAGTTGTAGAAGAAACCAAAATTGTAGAATGTCTAGAAAATCAGTTATACTAAAAACCATGATTAAAAGGGGCCTTTCACGAAAAATGATACATATCTCGCAATTTATAAGACCTAGAAATTTTAGGTGTTCATCAAAGTTGCTTAAAATAACATTTGCTACAACTTTATTCAGAACGTTAAGTCTCTATCTGAAATAAATAAAAAAATATTTTTTTATCTCACTTTTAGGTGGATTAATCACCAAACCGTCTACATAAATAAAAATGGTTTAACATATGCAAAAACATCTTTGAACAAACTATACCCATAAAATCAATGTTTGAGAATCTATTAAAAAAGCGCACAAAAACGACAAAAAGTAACACTGTGCGATGTTGTGGTACGTTTTTGGCCATTGTTGTCGTGTGTCTTGCCCCAATGTTGTGGTGCATATTGCACCATGAATCAGGCGTTTTGCCCCGCTATCATTTTGGAATCAATTTATAAAATACCTTGAAAATCATTAAAAATCATTGTTTTTGTAGTTCTAAATCACTCGATCTTCGTAGAAAACATGGTAATGAACCATACACCATTACTTTCTTCTTGATTTTACCTTCCATACGCCAGCAATTGACGATTTTGCTTAAACGGTGCGTTTTGCGCCATCCTACCCTACTGTTTGCCAAACAATTAGTCTGGATCTCTAATTTCAGGGACGGTAGATGAATGACAAACTGTGAAGAGATATTGGTCTTTTTTCATTCTGTTTTTATTTTAAATTGATGGCTGTGTGACTGATTGAGTTAATTTTGAATTTGACTATTAGGTAATTTAATTCTGTTTTTTTTTCTAATCTTTTTTTTCAGGTTGTGCTTGTCGGTTTCTCTATGGCCCGGAGACGAAGGAAGAACACAAAAGCCAAATCGAGAGCAGTCTCGATGGTAAAAACGAGCTGAAGTTGGAGGTGATATTCTATAAAAAGAATGGTAAGTTTATTTATATTCATTATTCACGGTGCACCCATTTTTACCCCATAAAGAAGTGAGATGATGGAACATTTTATAATATTATCCACTTAGCTTGTAAGTTTCTTCATTCACGGTCACGATACAAAACACTCGCTAGCAAGGGGACATACAGTAGAAGTAAGCTTTTCATTGCACGCGCTGTGAATGGGTATAAACATAAAAATTTAAAACATCATAACGTCTCTCGGAGATTGAATGCGTGTTTTCGAGATTATGGATGGTAGAGTTACTACTGATGGCATCTTTATGATTTCAAAGGGTGCGAAATGCTCAAGGAACATATGCGTTAGATTTTATTTCACTTTGCCAACTTTTATAGTGCTTTTGTGAAAGCATAAATTTAATCGAAAGCTGTGGTTTAATTTTCCATCTTTTAAAAATAACTGTCAGAGTGTTGAGCAATAATTGTTGATTATTTGTGCGAAAATAGGGTAATGTTTTCAAAAGTAGATCTAATTCAATAAAAAGGAAGATAACAAAAGTATTTTGATAATTATGTTCACATATGAAATGCTTGTAATTGCTCGATTTCCAAGAAGGTTAACATTAACGAATGGTCCTTTGACCCAAAGTGAACATGTTCTCAATACAGTAGAAAGAGCTAGGCAAGATAAGCAATCTGGGTCAAGTGTCCTTGCTTAGATTATTTCCATCTAAAACATGCCCAAGGTAATCGGATGGGCTAACATCTTGAATAAGCGTTCCTGTAGCTAGAAGATGCTCTCGTCTAGCAACGACATCATACCAAATAGCCGCTTATTTTAATTGCGAAAACACTCACCTTCTAGGAAAAAATAATCAGGATAATCAATACTAATACTACTTCCATTCATTTTGCTTAAAAAAATTATTTATGGTATTGGTATTGGGATCATAATGACGAATGGTTGTTGTTGTTGTTGATCTTTATTATTGACATTTTACATCCTGCGGATGCATTCATTCATTGGTGAGAGAATCTGATTAAATCGCTTATTGCGACTTTCATAAAGTGAAATCGGCAGGTTTTATGTGTCAACACAATCTTTACAACCAATTCTTGTTACTTAAAAATACAAAATATCAAAATATCACAGATACGCAAAACAGAAGTAAAAACGAATCTTAAATTGTAAAAAGTCATTTTTCTCCGATGGTGCATTTTTTCAAGGAAGCTCTTAACATAGAACATTACTTACTCACTTAGATTTTTCTCCGAGATATTGCACCACCGAGCAGCGCGGCATTTTATTTTGCTAGATCTTAGTGAAAAACATGCCGAGATTCAGCTAACAAACGGGATTTTGCCGAGATCTCAGCTAACAAAAAGGAATTTTGCTGACTTCTCTTTTTTGCCGAGCTGCTCGGTGGTGCCAATCTCGGCAAAAAATCTAAGTGTGTACTTATGGCTTTACTAGACTTACTTGGGTGACCTGAAGTACGTATCATTTATCACGTTTTCTCCTTTTTTCATAACTCAATTAAAATAAGCTTTGCAGTATCCTCTTCTCAAACTACAAGTAGCTTGACGTACTTAGAAGTGCATTAATTGCAGATAAGATGTTGGTGTAGCAGGTACTTATATCGAGAGTGGCTTAATAGATAAATCACAAATATTAATTGAGACCATAGAAAAATCTCACACTGGCGAATTGTAAAATTGCCAACACGTGAAATTTTCTATCATTTATCAAACTCGCTTTAGGCTCTAGGAAATACAAAATCTTCCCTGCTTCGTAGATAGTGCCGTACGCTAACGTGCGTTGCGGTACAATACTGTTGGGGTTTCACCATTGACTGATACTGAGTAACAGTAACAATGGCTTTATTACTTTCCTACTGGGACTTTGCGTCGGCTCTCAACTTAGTGTTATTTGAGCACTTTCCCAGTTATTAATTTAGAGCTTTCTAATATGCATGCATTTTCCGTCTGTGTCGGAAAACTGTTAACAGCATTGTGATTTGGAACATGAAGGTACCCAGAGTTCATATTCCTTCATTCTCTGAATTCGGTGTATGCATTTTCCCGATGCATCTTTTCACTTCTGCAGGAAACACAAATGCTGATAGCGCTTGGCGATGGTGATGGAGGTGGTGCCCGAGCTGACCGTAGGAAAAACACATGATGGGATCTTCATTCATCTCGAGAACCATCTAAAAAATATAATCGAAATAAATAATAAAAATAATAAAAATAGTAATAATAGTTTTAATTCTACTTACTAACGAAAAAGATCTTCTGTTCCTCCATCGAGAGCTTGAATTTGTTGGAGTATTTACTCATTTTTCAAACACTTTCCAATTGCGCACTTTATAACACCGGAGAAACGAGTCATAACCAACTTTAAAAAGGTGGGCAATAAATAAGTTTGACAGCACGTAATTCACAAATCGTTCAGTACTTTTTCAAAAATATAGTACTTAACTGTACAGTTTGTTTTGTAAAACATAATTTTTACTGTACATACGTAATAGTTTTTTACAGTATAACGGAATTGCAGCCATTTACAGGTTATAACACCGTATTTTACAGAACAATCGGTAAAAATTGTATTTTACAGACTAAGTTCAGCAAAAAAAGTACCGAACATAATTTAAGAAGTTTGGTGTGTAGAAAAAAATCGGGTCAACTCGAGAAGCTTTGCGTTAGTCAGCAGATATTTTGTCCATGGCGTTTGAAAAAATCGTTGTTACTTTTTTCATTGTGAACGGATTTTGAAAAATGGGTCAGGCGTTTGAAATATTACATATTTTGACTACAAATGAGCAACATTCCAGCTTATATGATATTTGTTACTTAAGAAATAGCAGTTTTAAAAGAAGCACTTAAGTAAGAAGCGCTTTACAAAAAAAAATCGCAAACTTCATACAAACTCAGCCATTTAAGCCCAAAGCTATACCGATAAACCTTAAACAGCTGATCAACCAGCAGCTAATATTAAAAAAAAAAGAATGTTGATGTTGATGCAATTCCTTAAAAGTTACAGCTTTCTACTTTGTTTCGCAATGAAAAAAATAACATACTGCCATTTACACCAAGAAAACCATCATTGGATGGAGGTACCGTAAATAGGTCATATTCAGTAGGCTCCAAGTGTATCCCCAGCTGTACGCAATTGAGGATTATACGAGGAAGGCCGACACATCTAAATCTCAATTCTATATGCTCTCTAATTTCACACTAGTGAAAAATCTCCTTTTTTAATTTATTTTTTTAACTCTTTATTTGTCAGTATAACAATTGAAATCTTAAAAATAAAAACTAAAACTAAATTTTATCTAAGTATAAAGGGAATTAATCGTAGCAATTGAAGTTTGGATTTCCTGTTTATAAGAGGATAACGGGTGTTCAATAAAAAATGAGAATGATTTCAGTGCCGTCCAGCGCTCTTGTGAGAGCATCGCGACTAAGTTGCGTCGTACGGCTTACCAGGGCCCCTTCTCCAATATTTATTGACGTTTTTTGAAGAATAAACATTATATTTTTAATAAAAAATACTGAATTCGTAGAAAAAAAATTTACTAGCTATATGACTGAAAAATTTCTCATTTTTTTTTGAACACCCGTTACAAACATTTTTATATATTTGTTACATGGCTTGAATGCCCTCAATGTGATCTTTAAAAGTTAATTTTTTGTCAAGTACTAATCCAAGATATTTCACTCGGTTTGACCAGGAAATTGGAACTCCGTTCATAGTGACTATGTGACTACTACTAGGTTTCAAAAACGAAGTTCTAGGCTTATGTGGAAATATTATAAGTTGAGTTTTGGAAACGTTGGGAGAAATTTTCCATTTTTGTAAGTAAGAAGAGAAAATTTCTAAACTTTTCTGCAGTCTGCTGCAATTAACACGAAGACTTCTTCCTTTAGCGGAAATGCCTGTGTCATCAGCGAACAAATATTTGTGGCAGCCCTGAGGCAAATCAGGGAGGTCCAAAGTGAAAATGTTATGCAAGAATGCTACCCTGAGGAACTCCTGCTCTAACAGGTAGTCGATCAGATTTGGAATTTTGATAATTTACCTGCAGAGTTCTGTCGGTTAAATAATTTTGAACTAATTTTAAATATAAAGTGGAAAGTTAAACTTTTGGAATTAAGCAATCAAACCTTCATGTCAAACACTGTTGAATGCTTTTTCTATGTCTAGAAGAGCAACTCCAGTTGAGCGGCCTTCAGTTTGAACGAATTAAATTTGTAACTCTTAAGAGTTGATGAGTAGTTGAATGCCCATGGCGAAATCCAAACTGCTCATCTGCAAAAATTGAGTTCGTATTGATGTGAAGCATCATTCTATTCAAAATTATCTTTTCAAAAAGTTTACTTATTGAAGAAAGCAAACTTATTGGGCGGTAGCTAGAAGCTTCAGCTGGATTTTTATCCGGCTTCAAAATTGGAACAACTTTTGCATTTTTCCATTTATCAGGAAAGTATGCCAAATGGAAACATCGGTTAAATAATTTTACCAAGAAAGACAAGGTACTCTCTGGGAGTTTTTTGATGAGGATATAGAAAATTCCATCATCACCTGGAGTTTTCATATTTTGAAACTTTTTAGTTATAGACCTTACTTCGTCCAAATTAGTCCCCCAGGAATCATTTTTCCCGAGAGAAAATATTCAGATAATCCCGAGCAACCTGATTCTCAATAGGACTAGTAAGACCCAAACTTAAATAATGGGAACTCTCGAATTGCTTAGCAAGTTTCTGAGCATTTTCCAAATTTGTGATCAAAATTTTACCACCTTCTTTAAGCGCTGGAATAGGCTTTTGAGGTTTTTTCAAAATTTCTGTGAGTTTCCAAAAGGGTTTGGAACTCGGGTCTAATTTAGAAACATGATTTTCAAAAGTTTTGTTCCTCAGGGCAGAGAATCGCATGTTAATTTGTTTTTGCAAATCCCGCCAGATAACTTTCATGGCAGGATCGCGTGTTCTTTGATATTGTCTCCTACGGACATTTTTAAGACGGATCAAGAGC